CAAAGTGAGACCCTGTCTCATAAAATAAATACATACATACATATACACACACACACACACACACACACACACGACATGTCTATATGTAACACCATGGCAAGTGGTTCAAAATATATTAACTGAATGAAACAAGCAATGATTAAACTTTTTCAAACATTAATTATTTAGGTTACAGGTATCTGAATTTTTCTTTTTTGAGGTAAGAGTCTCTGTCACCAAGGCTAGAGTGCAGTGGTGCGATCTCAGCTCACTGCAACCTCCACCTCCCAGGATTGAGCAATTCTCCAGCCTCAGCCTCCCAAGTAGCTGTAATTACAGGTGCCCGCCACCACGCCCAGCTAATTTTCACATTTTTCGTAGAGACAGGGTTTCACCATGTTGGCCAGGCTGGTCTCGAACTCCTGACCTCAAGTGATCCACCCGCCTCGACCTCCCAAAGTGCCGAGATTACAGGCATGAGCCATCACAGCTGGCCACAGGTAGAATTTTATGGGTGACTTTCATTTTCTCTGTTGCATTTACGTATATTGCTTTTATAATAGGTCAAAAAAATTAAGACACACACATAATTAACCAAGCTAAAATTCTACCAAACCCAGAGGAAAGCATTCTTCATTCTGGCTCTGAGACATGAGCTAGATGCCAGATGCAAATCTAGGGACAGTTTCATCAAAATTGTTTTTGAGATGGAGTTTCACTCTTGTCACCCAGGCTGGAGTGCAATGGCACGATCTCAGCTCACTGCAACTTCCATCTCCCGGGTTAAAGCGATTCTCCTGCCTCAGCCTCCTGAGTAGCTAGGATTACAGGCGTGCACACCCACGCCCAGTTAATTTTTGTATTTTTAGTAGAGACGGGGTTTCACCATGTTGGCCAGGCTGGTCTTGAACTCCTGACCTCAAGTGATCCACCCACCTCAGCCTCCCAAAGTGCTGGGATTACAGGTGTGAGCCACTGCGCCCAGCCCATCAAAATTATGAACAAGGACAGACGAGGTGGCTCATGCCTGTAATCCCAACACTTTGGGAGGCTGAGGTGGGTGGATGTTTGAGTCCAAAAGTTCAAGACCAGCCTGGGCAACAAAGTGAGACTGTCTCTACCAAAAAAAAAAAAGAAAAACAAAAAGAAAATTAGTAACAGTATTTATCATCAAATGTCAAAAGAATAATGAAGGTTGGGTGTGGTGGCTCACGCCTGTAATCCCAACACTTTGAGAGGCCGAGGCAGATGGATCACGAGGTCAAAAGTTCAAGACCAGCCTGGCCAACATAGTAAAATTCCATCTCTACTAAAAATACAAAAATTAGCCAGGCATGGTGGTGCACGCCTGTAGTCCCAGCTACTCGGGAGGCTGAGGCAGGAGAATCACTTGAACCTGGGAGGTGGAGGTTGCAGTGAGCCAAGATCACACCACCACACTCCAGCATGGGTGACAGAGCAAGACATGGTCTCAGGAAAAAAAAAAGAAAAAAAGAATAACAAAGTACAAAAATGTAGCCATTATTCACTAAATTCGTTCGTTAAATATATATTTATTGAAGGCAACTATGTACCTAGTACTGTGAGTAATGAATAAAATACAGACTCTGCTCTCAAGGAGTTTACAGTCTAACTAGAGAAACCAACCAAGCAAACCATTAATCCATTATAAGAGCACAACGAATATCAGAGAAGTGATGCCTATGGATGTAAAAGGCCAATGAACAAGATACTATGAAGGATAAGCAACATAAAGCCAAAGGCACTTAAAATGACGTACTGAGCAAATATTCAATTAGCACGTCTCAGACACAAGCTGTAGACTAACAGACCACTCCCAAGCTTACAGCAGGTTCATACAATGGTGTTTATTCAAAGATATATTAAAATTAAGATGAAGGGGCCTGGTGCAGTGGCTCATGCCTGTAAAATTAAGATGAAGAAATATAATTCAGTTGACGCATAAAGCATGTACTATGCCAAGCAAGAATTCTGCCCAGAGCCAAATTACAAACATAAATAAAACTCAGTTCCTGCCCTTAAGATACTCATAGAAAAAAGTAACTATCCTTCCTTTTAAAAATAGAATATACCATTAACAGGCATATTTGTAATAAACATATAATATGTATTAAATAATTACAACTGTATATAATTACAACATATGTAACAGTACACTATATATATGATAACAGAGGGCCAGGTATGGTTGCTCACACCTGTAATCCCAGTGCTTTGTGAAGCTGTGGTGGGAAGATCACTTGAGGCCAGGAGTTTGAGACCAGTTTAACCAACATAGCAAGACTTCATCTCTACAAAAAAATTTAAAAATTAGCCGGGTGGTGGTGTACGCCACTCGGGAGGCTGAGGTGGCACTACTGCTTGAGCCCAGGAGTTCAAGGCTACAGTGAGCTATGATTATACCACTGCACTCTAGCTGTGGACAACAGAGTGAGACCCTGTTTCTAAAAATATAAATTAATATTACATTAAAAAATAATAGACCAGGTGCAGTGGCTCCTGTCTGTAATCCTGGCACTTTGGGAGGCCACAGTCAGTGGATCGCTTGACCCCAGGAGTTCGAGACTAGCCTGGGCAACATGGCAAAACTCCTTCTCCACAAAAAATACAAAAAAATTAGCCAGGCATGGTGGTATGTGCCTGCAGTCCTAGCTACTCAGAAGGCTGAGGTAGGAGGACCACTTGAGCCTAGGAGGTCAAGGCTGCAGTGACCTGTGATTGTGCCACTGCACTCCAGCCCAGGTGACAGAACAAGACCCTGTCTCAAAAAATATATAACATTAATAGAAAAGTGCTATTAACAGGCAATTAAGGATGATAAACCTCAGATCATCATAAAGACTATCATTTATTAAGGACTGACTCAATGCCAGGGATGCACATTCCACCAAAAAGAGGGGTTAAATCCCTCCCAAGTTACAAAGCTAGGTTTTCGTTTTGAGACAGGGTCTTGCTATGTGGCCTGGGCTGGAGAGCAGTGGTGTGATCACAGCTCACTGCAGCCTCTATCTCCAAGCTACCCTTCTGCCTCAGCCTCCTGAGTAGCTAAGATTACAAGCACACACACCACCGCACACACACCACCATGTAAGGCTTTTTTTTTTTTTTTAAATAGAGACAAGGTCTCATGCTCCTGAGTTTCAGCAACCCTCCTGCCTTAGCCTCCCAAAGTGCTGGGATTACAGGTGTGAACCACCACACCCGACCCTACAAAGCTAGGTTTTGAGCTCAGTGGCTCTGTCTCTTCCAAGGCTCAATCACAAGAAAAGTATGCAAAACTGAAAGGAAAAAGAAGACCAAACTACTGGATATAAAAACAATATAGAAAACAGCAGATATCTGACCATAAGACAAACTTTATTTATATATAAAGACCAAGTTTTATGGCTTCATGTTTTATAGTTGGTATTTGTTCAGGTATTTATTTTGAATACAGTCCATCAAGAAAACAAAACTTAAAGAAAAAAGTTTGTACTGACCGCTACAATTTATAACACACTATGGAAGAATGAAAGGGTCAGCATCAAATTCTCAGTTTCTCCAATGTCAACAAGTCATCTTATGTCTAAATCAGGGGTCAGCAAAGTAGAGCCCCAAATCAAATCTGACCTGCAGCCTGTTTTCATAAGTAAAACAAACATCTGTACACAAAATACTCTTTTTTTTTTTTTTTATTGGGACACAGCCATGCCCAATCATTTGGGTATGGCTGCTTTCCTACTACAAGGACAGACCTGAGTGCTTAAGACAAAGACAGTATGATCCACAAAACGAAAAACATTGATTTTCTGGTCCTTTACAGAAAATGTTTTCAGATCCCTGGTCTAAATGATTGCCATATATATCACAAATGGTGGAAAAATAATTAGCCTGTTCATTTCAGCCCTATTTAAGCTTTATTATGAACTCTACCTGATTTAAGTACTCTTCCTTTGTAATTACTGTCACTTAGTAAATGTTAATGAGTTTTTTAATTTCCACAACTATGTTCACATTTCAGTTATTTTCCATACAGTAGGTCTTACTTTAGCTGCCCAGTAATTTATTCTACACATAATTACTACAACAAAATCCTAATTAAGGCACATCTGTGGCCTGGCGCGGTGGCTCACGCCTGTAATCCGAGCACTTTGGGAGGCTGAGGCGGATAGATCATGAGGTCAGGAGTTCAAGACAAGCCTGGCCAACATGGTGAAACCCCGTCTCTACTAAAAATACAAAAATTACCTGGGCATGGTAGTGCACGCCTGTAATCCTAGCTACTCAGGAGGCTGAGGCAGAACTGCTTGAACCTGGGAGGTGGAGGTTGCAATGAGCTGAGATTGCACCACTGCACTCCAGCCTGGGCAACAGAGCGAGACTCCATCTCAGAATTTAAAAAAAAAAAAAAAAAAAAGGCACATCTGCAATTATCCCCATACATAGTTATGCTTCAATTTTGTACAATCTACAAAGATACAGACAAGCAAAGATGAACACACAGACAAGAGCTGCTATGACTAAATAATTTCTAATATCCGATTCATATTCGAACACCTCAAAGTGCCATTTACAACTAACAGCATCTGGCCAGGTGTGGTGGCTCATGCCTGTAATCCCAGCACTTTGGGAGGCCGACGCAGGTGGATCACCTGAGGTCAGGATTTCGAGGCCAGCCCGGCCAACATGGCGAAACCCCGTCTCTATTAAAAAAATTTAAAAATTAGCTGGGCGTGGTAGCACGTGCCCGTAGTCCCAACTACTTGGGAGGTTGAGGCAGGAGAATCTCTTGAACACGGGAGGCAGAGGTTGCAATGAGCCAAGATCTCGCCCCATTGCACTCCAGCCTGGGTGATAGAGCGAGACTACGTCTCAAAAAAAAAAAAAAAGAACAACATCAGTGTCATCTGACTGCATAAGAAATGCAAATTCATGGCCCCTATTCCAGACCTACCAGGTGATTCTTATGCACATTAAAAGTCCAAGAATCAATGCACCAAGACAGAGTTTATATCACTTACCTTGAGTGTGAAAAGGCTGATTCGGCCAGGCAGTTTATAAAACAACCCCTCTCCTCCTCTTGAATTGGAATGTAGCATAGCATTGAGGCATGCGAGAGGGGACGTCCCACTGTAAAACCACAAAAGAATGGATGAGGGTCATATAATCCATCTGCCTAAAGACCTAATCCCTCCAATTCATTCTTAAATGAGAAAAAGCTAAGCAAGAAATACAAAAGAAAAAATCTCATGACAATTTCACTGTGAAAATAGTAAAAGAATAACCAAATGAAATTCACATAAATCACACTCAGGGAACTCTGGAATAAACATTATGTGATACTTGAAATCCATACCTAACACTTCTTCAGTGCTTTTTGACAATATAAATCAAATTTTCAAGAAATTTAGAAAAACCACACAATTTTTTCAAATTATATTTTAATAAATAAAATTTTAATAAAATTTTACTATTAAAAGCTTCCTAGCCTCTATATTTCAATTTACATATCATACTCAGAAACTGCCACAGATTATCACAAAGAATCACAAAATCAATGGTCCTTTGCCAATAAAACAAGCAGAACTTTTTTTCCAGTTAAACATTTTCTAGTAAGTAAACAAAAAGAACAGTATTTCATTTGTTTTTTTTCTCTGTTGGGAGTGGGGAGATTGAGTTTTATTCTGTATCTATGCGGGAACAATTATTTAAACCTAAATGCAAAAAGACAGTCAAGTGGATTTAGTTCCCAGTAATGCTTAAACATTAAACTAAAACAATGGCATACTCAGTTGTTTCATGGTCCTTACCACAACAGCAGATTGCGAAACAGTGACAGTTCAGTGCGAAGGATGCTTACTTACTGAATCTTAAAATAGAAAAGCTACCAAAAAAATCAACAAATGCCCATTATTAATATTAACTGAGTTTGGCACTAGCATATTAGTGCTAGGAGTCACCTGTGCACCCTCTTTTCCCTCTCCCCAGCATGTTAAAAAATATATAAATAGCTTAAGTAAGCCTCTTCGCATGTTTCAGAACTAGAGGCCCTAATTTATGCAGTGTTAAAAATAAATTCTGAGTCAAAAAAAACCATTAAAAAACTATTACTTATTTTGCCTTGGAACACACTGGATGCTAAAAAATTTTTCACCAAGAACCAATCTCTAAAAGAAACCTTGTGCAAAATCTGGAGTATCAAGTGGGTGTGCTAGCATCTCTGCTACAAGGAGAACAGCATGTTGGCACAGCTCTTCTGTGACTCCTACATATTATACCTCTGTCTACAAATTACAGAGCTGCTCACTCATCATGAGCCACCATGACTGCTTCATAATTCCTCTAAGAACAAGAAGCAGAAACAAGTTAAGGTTTTCAATTCCATATGTCCCAAAGGGACTCATTTACCTTCTATAGGCAAAGTGGTCCAACAGCAATGCAGACAGCAGCATGATGGGAAATAGCCCATAAAAACAAAAATAAAGCACAATTATAACACTACACAGTGGATAAGTACAAGTCAAATAAATGTGATGTAGACAATCTTAAATCTTCCCTCCCCACAAAACATCAACTTGAGAATGTTTGAACTGACAACAGGAAAGTGAGGGCCTTCTGACCCTAAAAGGTCAATTTGCTAAGTTTGACTAGCAAAAACATGAAGTTTGCTCTGAGTCCCAGGCAGGGACTGTGTAGTGCTCTCCTCTTTCCTCATTTAAGGACTTTTTTTTGTTTTGTTTTGTTTCGTTTTTTTAAGACGGAGTCTCATTCTGTCGTCCAGGCTGGAGTGCAGCAGTACAATCTCAGCTCACTGCAACCTCCGTCTCCTGGGTTCAAGCGATTCTCCAGCCTCATCCTCCCAAGCTGGAACTACAGGTTACAGGCATGCATCACCACACCGGCTAATCTTTGTATTTTTAGTAGATAATGGGTTTTGCCATGTTGGCCAGGTTGGTCTTGAACTCCTGACCTCAAGTGATCTGCCTGCCTTGGCCTCCCAAAGTGCTGGGATTACAGGCGTGGGCCATCACACTCAGCCCTTTTTTTTTTTTTTTTAAGTTTGAAGTTAGGATAAGGAAAAAGAAAGATTAAAGATAGTCACTGGCTTTCAGGCCAGCAATTCTATGTTTCTAACTTGTTACTTCTCCAGGAAAACTATGCCATAAATTTAGAAAACAAAGGTCACCTCAAAATTTAGTAAATTCATATAATATGTGACTGGAATTAGTAGGGGGAAAAAAGTCAGTGGGTTTTTTATGTTGATGAGACCACCGTTCTTTTATCCTAAAAGAAAGAACTTCAGGGATACAGCATAGAGAAAAGGGTAGTGTTAGGCACAATAGAGGCTATCAGGTCTGAAACTTCTGAAACAGCACGAGAGAAAATGTGCCCTGCCTCCTTACACAAAAAACAAGCTCTATGCCAAGATTTAAGGAAGAGCAAGGAGATGGGGAAAGCCACTGCACCTCTAAATGAAAACAAATAGATGTTCACCCACTGCTACCCCTCCACTCAGACGACACACAATTTGGGAAATGGATAGTTCTGCTTCACTATCAGACACAGAAGCACAAACATATACACACGTTTACTTACTCATATCACTACACAACTACAGAAAGACACATGTCCTATGAAACCCTCACGTTAAGCAACAAGAACAATACAAACCTCATTTCCTTTAGTCCTTCTGCCTCTATGACCTGCAGAATCTGTTTTGGTGTCATTGGAGCATCCGAGTAGTTTTCTAAAACCTGAAGAAATATAAACGTCCTAATTTCAGTGTGCAATTTCCATTTATATCCATCCATCCATATATCATGGGCTAAAGTTCTGCTATGAGGTACCACTGGTGACAACTTACTTTTTCCACAGTTAAAATTACTTCAGAAATCAAATCACACATATATCCAGTTACTGAAAGTTACTGCAATTAACTGAAATGTTCAAATTCTCAATTCTAAGGATGCATATCTTCTCAGCATACATTGTATAGTATGTGAGACCTTAGCAACATTGGTTACGGTTTAACTTGATGCTGTTAATACTGCTAAACCACAGAATATATAGCACTGCACAAGAAACATGAGACAGAAATGCATTCACATTTTCTTTCCCAAGGAAGTTTAATTACTACCTATACATACATATATATATGTGTGCAAATTCATGGCCCCTATTCCAGACCTACCAAGTGATTCTTATGCACATAAAAGTCCAAGAATCACTGCACCAATGCTTTTGTATTTTAGTAGAGACGGAGCTTCACCATGTTGGCCAGGCGAACTCCTGATCTCAGGTGATCTGCCCACCTCAGCCTCCTAAAGTGCTGGGATTATAGAAGTGAGCCACCACACCCGACCAAGTACCCATATTTTTAAACGGTGCTTTTTGCCACTGTGTTGTTAATCTGTGGTGTTAACTGCCACAGTACGTTCTGCCATTTGGCAATATGATGCTATGATTCTGCATGACTGGTGCAATGAAAAGCAGAATATCCCATTTATGTTAGCATCATCTATAACCAAGTCATGGCAGTATTGCAGTATTTTCTTAGTGTGCAACTGCAGCTCTCTTGCTTTAAGAGTTCTTAGATATGTTATTCTTCTAAAAGAGGAAAAAAGCTGTCAATATCTTTGTACTTTGTCTACCTGTGCAGCTACTGAGGGTACTCCAAATCAAGCTAACATCTTATAGTCCATTTAACTACCATAACCAAGTACTGCTGTCACAAGCAACACATAAAGCAGTAAGTCTGATAGGACACTGCTGTCTGCGGCCATACCACCCTGGACGTGCAAGATCTTGTCTGACAGGTCTGCTGCGGAAGGTACTCTATGGAAGAACATAAGACCTCAGCACTAAAGTCAAGGTTTGGAGAAGGTACTAAAATAAAACCCCTATTTCTCATGATCCTATTCTTTGCTTCTCTTTTCAGATTTTCCATTCTCCATGGGTAACATTATCATCTCAGTTTCAGCCACTACCTAAATTCTGGTAACTATCTAATCTCTACCTCTAGCCCTGACGTCTCCCCCAAATTTCAGATTCAAATATTCAGTTGTGTACTGATTGTACCCCTTCATTATCTACTCTAATTCAGCTCTACTCTTAATTCATCTAATTGGCAATTCTAATTCACCTCTTCTCCAGACCCACTCTTCTTCCTGTATTCCCTACCTTGATTGACAGCCTGTATAATCACCTAATTCAGAAACGCAGGTGTCATCCTTCTCTCTCATCTGTCCCCCAAGTCCCAAAACCAGTCTCTTTCCTGACCCAACACAACAGCCTCTTAATGTCTATCCCTCCATCCAGTCCTGCTTTCCTCAAATCCATTCTGACTCTGTTGTCATCCTTCAATCAACAAACACATGCAACACCTACCTTGTGCCAGGCACAATTCTAGGGATTCACAGTAAACAAGACCAAATCCCTGCTGTGGTAGAACTTACATGTTCAGCAAAGCAAACCTGCCCTCATCACTTTTAACTCTAAAATCCTTCAACAGGCCAGGCACAGTGGTGCACACCTATAGTCCCAGCTGAGACTGAGGCAGGAGGGTCACTTGAGCTCAGGAGCTCCAGGATGTAGTGGGCCATGATCCTGCCTGTGTATAGCCACAGCACTCCAGCCTGGGTAACACAGTGAAACCTCATCTCTTTAAAGAATTTCTGAAAATGGGGGCCAGGTACGGTGGCTCACGCCTGTAATCCCAGCACTTTGGGAGGCTGAGGCGGGTGGATCACGAGGTCAGGAGATCGAAACCATCCTGACTAACATGGTGAAACCCCGTCACTACTAAAAAGTACAAAAAAACTAGCCGGGCATGGTGGTGGGCGCCTGTAGTCCCAGCTACTCGGGAAGCTGAGGCGGGAGAAGCTGAGTGCAGTGAGCTGAGATCGCGCCACTGCACTCCAGCCTGGGTGACAGAGCAAGACTCCATCTCAAGTAAAAAAAAAAAAAAAAAAAAATCTAAAAAAATATATGGCTGGGTAAAGTGTCTCACACCTGTAATCCCAGCACTTTGGGAGGCCAAGGTGGGCAGATTGCTTGAGCCTAGGAGTTCAAAACCAGCCTGGGCAACATGGTGAAACCCTGTCTCTACAAAAATATATAAAAAACTAGCTGGGCATGGTGGCGCATGCCTGTAATCCCAGCTACACAGGAGGCTGAGGTGGGAGAATCATGAGCCCCGAAGTGGAAGCTGCAGTGAGCTGTGATGGCGCCACTGTACTTCAGCCACAGTGACAGAATGAGACTCTGTCTCAAAAAATAGTAATAAAAATAGAAAGCAAATAAAATCCTTCAACAGCTCCTTAATCACATACTGCAAAAGCTGAAGCTTCCAAAGTCCACTGGCCCACTGGTAAAGAACAGGATCTAGAGTTAGATTCAAATTCTTACGTTCTAAACTAGGGCAAATTACAACCCAACCTGAACCTAGGTTCTCTTTTGAAGGATACTGATGTCTTCCTCTCAGAGTTATTGAACAGATTAGAGACAATGTAAGTAATGCTTACAGTGCCTGGCACAGAGTAGGTGCTCACTGGCCTGACATATGGAACCCTCACAATCTGGTCTCTGCCTGTCTCTACCCATCCACAATGACACTCCACAAACTTTATGTTCCAATAATTTGTAGATATAGCTAATTCTCACACTTTGCAAATACACACACTCCCTCTCACCCTTTCTCTCTCTCTCTCTCCTGCTATGTGTTGTCACCAGCTCCTGCTTATGCCCTCTGTGACTGGCCTAACTCCTAGTTACCCTTCAAGATTGAGCTCAGAAAGCACCTTCCTCCAGGAAGCCTTCCCTGATCTCTGCCAGGCAGAAGTAAAAGTCTCTTTTCAATGTCCCCATTGTTTCATAACACATACAATTATCTTCCAAACCAGGACAGTTGAAAGGAGAAACTATTCATAATTATGACTGGACAAGAGGCAGCAACTGGGATATCTGTTTATGATTTATACAACTATGATAACATGTATCATGACTACAGTAAAATTCTGTTCCTGTGTCTGGACCTTCTCCATCCCCAGACGACCATAAGCCCTGAGGGGGCAAACCTCATCCACCTTTGTATTCCAAGAACCTAAGTGCCAAGACAGGCAGTACTGACTTGAACAAACCTACAATAAACCCTGAACAAGCTACTAATGTTCACTGCCACAGATATCATTTCTTTGATACTAACTAAATGAAAGCTGAGCTAGCGAATTTTTGTAGCATTTTTTAAAAGAAAAGAAGCATGACTCAAATAGCAACTACCAATTATTTAAACAGCAATCAGAAAAGCCTGAGAATTTAAGACAGGGGAAACAGAATCTCTAAAGGGAAGTTACATCAAAAGATACAAAGCATTCACTTTTATTAAAACTGTTTATGCCTCCAGCTTTTGGTATAAGAACAAGTCAGCAGTGTTCTATTCCTAGTCTCTTTCTAGACTACATTAAAAAAAAAAAAAAAGTCTTCTCTTACTTCAAAGGGGAAAAAAAATGTTTGATGTAAGAACTGGTCAGTCACGAATCAAAGTAAAAGATAAAGCATGCGACAAAGAGTTTCTCAGAGCCAGGGAGAATCCATTTAGGGTCCTCAATTTAAAGGGAAATCCCCTTGGCTATTTCTCCCAAACAAACTGTTCATAACAAGTTGGAAGATATCCACCCAACCACGTAAGGTCTACGTCTTACATCTAGAAAAGACAATACTACAACATGTGTGAAAGAAAGAGTATCTATTTTTCAACAGTATAATTAAACATCTGCAAAAATCAATCTCCTGGGGTATACTACACTGAAATTCTCAAGAAGAATCTTCTTTCCTCTGCAAAAACAATTTTTTAAAAGGATTCCCAGTAACACTCTAGTCACCAGATTGCTCCTGGGGTCAGGAGCAATCTGAAAGTGTTCCCAAGGAAGTGCATACAATTGCCATTGCAAGGAGTCCAAATTCACCTGCCCAAAGAGAAGAGTAGTGTTCAGGTGTTCTAATGTTCAACTGTCCTACGTTCCCTCCTGGTCAAGTTTCTCTCAGTCCAGTGTTAAGCTCTCACAAATTCTCCAGCACACAGTGTTACAGAAACTTTTTTTAAACATTAAGAGGGCTATTTTTTTCTTTTGTTTTGTTTTTGAGATGGAGTCTCACTGCCGCCACTGGAGTGCAGTGGCGCAATCTCGGTTCACTGCAACCTCCACCTCCCGGGTTCAAGTGATTCTCCTGCCTCAGCCTCCCGAGTAGCGGAGGTTACAGGCATGCACCACCACCACGCCTGGCTAATTTTTGTATTTTTAGTAGGGACAGGGTTTCACCATGTTGGCCAGGCTAGTCTCGAACTCCTGACCTCAGGTGATCCGTCTGCTTCAGCCTCCCAAAGTGCTGGGATTATAGACGTGAGCCACCGCGCCCAGTCTAGGACTCTTAAAAAGTTCCCCCTTACCTACCATCCAGTCCCATCCAAAGAAATGGAAAATTCTAAAACAAAAAACACACAAAAGATACACAAATTACATATCACATTCTCATGAGTCCTTTTTTTTTTTTTTTTTCTTGAGACGGAGTCTCACTCTGTCCCCCAGGCTGGAGTGTAGTGGCATGACCTTGGCTCTCTGCAACCTCCACCTCCCGAGTTCAAGCGATTCTCCTGCCTCAGCGCCCCCCACCCCTCCAAGTAGCTGGGATTACAGGCATGAACCACCACACCTGGCTAATTTTTGTATTTTTAGTAGAAACTGGGTTTCACCATGTTGACCAAGCTGGTCTAGAACTCCTGACCCTGTGATCCACCCACCTCAGCCTCCCAAAGTGCTGGGATTACAGGCATGAGCCATCACGCCCAACCTCATTATTTTTTTAGAGTCAGGATCTCCCTCTATCACCCAGGCTGGAGTGCAGTGGCACAATCAGTCATTGGCCACTGCAGCCTCCAACTCCTCAGCCTCCCAAATAGCTAGGACCACAGGTGTGCACCGCCATGCCCAACTCATTTTCTTTCTGCTGTTGTAGAGACCGAGTCTATGTTGCCCAGGCTCATCTTGAACTCCTAGCTTCAAGTGATTATTCTGCCTCAGCCTCCCAAAGTCTCACAAATCCTTTTTCACATGTATAACACCACCATAAAGTAATTCCTATTCATAGACTAGGCGCGGTGGCTCACGCCTGTAATCCCAGCACTTTAGGAGGCCAAGGTGGGCGGATAACCTGAGGTCAGAAGTTCAAGACCAGCCTGACCAACATGGAGAAACCCCATCTCTACGAAAAATACAAAATTAGCGGGGCATGGTGGCACATGCCTGTAATCCCAGCTACTAGGGAAGACTGAGGCAGGAGAATCACTTGAACCTGGGAGGCAGAGCTTGCGGTGAGCCAAGATGGTGCTATTGCATTCCAGCCTGGGCAACAAGAGAGAAACTCCAAACAAACAAAACAAACAAACAAACAAAAACAAGGTAATTCCTATTCATATTACTATTTTTAATGAAGAGCCTTAGAAGAAAAAGAGAAATAACTTACTCTGATAATCCGGTTTGAAGTCAATGATAAAACAGAAAGAGCAACCTCGATGTTGAAGTTCAGACCACAGTAAATTCGAGAATCTAAAGAGACTTCACAGTGGACCCCAAATTCCTAAAGTCAACTAGTAAGAGCCAACAAAACTTTGAAACAGATTTTATAATTCTGTCAAGACATAAATAACATAGGATTTAAAGGTACTTTCACCTACCTCTAACAAGTAAAACTCTGGCAAGCAAATTTCCTTGGGTGCCCAGGGTCATAAACACCCGCATTAACAGGAACGCCAAGGACAATGTCAATGAACACACAAAACTCATCGTCCAGGAGAATGAGAGCTCTCTCCCACTCCCCATCAGGCCTATATTTGTTTCCAGGTAAAGAACCATTAGAGAAATCCTGAAATTTCTACAAGATCCTGAAAACTAGCCCGAGCTTCCAATTTTGACTGAATCAGGAAAAAAAAATATTTCGGAACCTCAAAATCTTCAAACTTCACATGCCAGGCCAAAATAAACTGAAGCACAAAACTTCAGCATACAAACAATTGCTATTTTTGTTCCCTGGGCAACAAATGACTAGGGAAGAGGACAGCAAGCACCAATGAAAATTCTGTAGCCCAAATTCCTTCAGTTTTTATAAATCAGTAACTTTTACAGACTTCGATAAAGAAAAAGGTGTACTTCAGGTTTGTTTCAACCCCACCCCCCATACGGTTTTATTTTATTTTTTTTTTTTTGCACAACACCTTTGACGCAGAAAACTCACTTCAAAATAAGAGAGAAAATTAAGTCTGAGCTTCACTCATCATTAAAACTGAATTACGACAATTACATATAAACTAGTGTCAAGAGACACTTATGCTATCCGCACCACAACCTCCCTGTTTGACAGATCTTAGGAACTGACAGCTTAGTATAACCTGTTACTACCGGTATCAGCAGATGTTACACGAGTATGTCTCAAAGTCTCTGAGCTTCGTGGGTGCAATCCAAAAGGAAGCTATTTCACCTGCAGGTCCTCTGACGCTCTGAACACAAAATTCACAACCCCCATCAGTTGAACGAAGCGGCTTCAAACACTCAAATTACGCTCTCCCTTGCTAATCCTCAGTGAACAATGTCTCTCAACAGAGACACTTTGTCTTTGTCCAACATACATTCTTTGCAAAGTGGATTCAGTTCTCCTCAAAGTGCCCATTTCCAGTCCAGCTTCTGAAGGCAAGCACCCCAGTCAGCGTTTCTCAAAGTGGGGTCCGTGAGCCACTGCGTTTCAATCACCTGGTAAGCCGGTGAAAGCGCAGATTCCCAGGCTCTATCCCAGACCCTGAGGCTCAGCAGGTCTTATGGAGGGCCCTAGGAGGAGCGTTACTAACCGCCTCTCAGGTGTCGCCCACAGGACACTAAAGTTAGAGAACCGCTCCTCAGGATTCAAGCTGGGAGTAAGCACTTTCTTCCCTCCACGCACCTGGTTTAGATTGGTAAAGCTCAAAATGCCACTGGCGTCCTTGAATGTGGGGTCGCTTTTCCACCCCCGGAGTCAAAGGCACCACCCCATTACCCACCATGAAGCGAGGGAGGAGCTTCCGACCCTTCCCGGAAACCCAACTCCCCCGGGTGAATGAACGAAGCTGCCCCAGACCCCCAGACGCTGCCAAATAGTGGGGGAGGGGAGGCGGGACCCCGCTGCCCAGAGGGGGAGGAGCCGGCCTGCCAGCTCGCCCCTCCGCAGGAATTTAGCTGGGCGGGGGGTGGGGGGGTAGGGGGGGTAGGGGGGGTGGCGGGTAGGGCAAGCGGAAAAAGGCGCCACATCCCATCCCGGCGGAGCGCTCCCCACCCCGCGCCTTGCGGGGCTGTCCCGTTCTTAAAGGAAGATGGCCCCGCCCCCTCCCGCGGTGGGCAGGGCCTCGCCCCTCCCCCTCCAGTGGGGGGGGCGCGGCGAGCCCACCCCCACCGAGCCCCACGGAGCCCCCCTCGGCTACCCGCCTCACCAGGCGCGCGGCCTCGGCCCACGTGCGCTCCTTCTTCTTCTTCTGTTTGTCCTTCATCCTCCTCCCCGGCGGCGGCGGCAGCTCCACGCGGGACCTCTGGGCTGGGCGGGCTGGGGCGGTGGCGCGGGGCTGGGGCGGCGGTGGGGGGGGGGTCGCGTGGCAGCGGCGGCGCGCGAGGTCTCGGGTGCGGCCGGGGAAAAGGGGCGGGCACGCGGGGACCGGCTGGCGCGAGAGCGGCGGTGGGGGAGGGGCGGCGGCGGCTCCACGCGCCCGCGCTGCGTCAGTCGCCCACGGCGGCAGCGGCTGCTGCCCCGCGATCGCTAAGGAATGCGGCGACTCCGCATAACCACGGGGTCAGAGGTCACGGCTCCGGCCTCCGCTTTCCCGCTCTGCTGAGGGACCGAGACAGGACCGGCGGCGGGGCGGGAGGGCGAAACGCGGCTTTCCCTTCGGCGCCCGGGTGTGTGCGTGTCTGCCGTGGGTGTGTGTGAGTGTGTGTGAAGAGTGAGGAGGGGGAGTGTGGGGTTTTTTTTTTTTGAACAAAAACAAACCGAAAGGACGGCTGGGAGTCGTAGTCCCAGCGGCCTGTCTGGCCTCCCCCGCTCCGGAAGAATATGGCCGTGTGAAGGGCGTGGACCACACTTCCCGGCGTGCCCCGCGGCCCCCTTCCGCTCTCCCTCTGGCGTCCTCCGCCTAGCACCGACCTGAGTTAGGAACGGGGACGCATCGCTGTTCGGGGAAGGGGCTGGGTAGAGTCTCGCGAGGTGCGGGAACTGGCTGGGTACCTGAGGGATTCTGGGAGGCGATGCTGGGAAGGGGCGGTGGCTGGGCTCCCCCGGCCGCCCTTAACCCCTTAGGTGCTTTTTGCCTCAGGACCTCCGGGCGGGTGCGGGTGGGAAGTGAAGATGGGGAGCTCGACTCGCAGCTCCCACTTCGTGCTTCTCGCCTAAATGGTTTTCACCTATACTTCTCGTAGGGGACGAGAGGCAGGACTTTCCCTTTAGGTCCCCCCCTAAATGACTCACTGCCACATAATAATGAGACAGAAAGACCCTCATACCAGTAAAACGGTTATTCCACGGTTGATGGACTTTGACGGTTCCTCATTTCCTCCTATGCTTTCAGGCCGCTGTTTATTTGCAGAGCCTGCGTTCTTACCACTTGAGGAACTTGGTGATACGTTGACGGGTCGCATAAAGGACTTGGACTCTGGGGCCATACTGACTAGAATGCACCTGAGTGCGTTTTTAGAGGCAGTACCCTGGAGAGAACTCAGGCCCTGGAGTCCAACGGACCTAGACTGGAATCTTGGCTGAGTCACTCCCTGGCTGTCCACTCAACCTGAGCCTCAGTTTTCTGATTTGCATTTGTCTTGTATTTCATGGCATTATTGGAATTAAAATTAACATAAAATTCTTGACAGATTGGAAGAGGATGTGAAGGGAGATCTTGACATTATTAGGTTCGCATGATTTGGCGCCTGGCATAGAGCAAATGTTTAATAAATGGTGGCTGTTATTACCAGGTGAGAGACAATGGGCAATGTACTTAGCTTCTCTGAGCCTTAGTTTCAGAACCTGAAATGAAATTGAGAGCGCCCAGCACATAGGTTTTCTGTCTATAGGTTCAGTCGTTGTCCAGAAACATTTCTGGATTCCGTCTTGAGTTGGATTGATGCCAGCTCTTAAAAACTGTGAAGGCAGGACCAGTGGCCACATTTAAAGGTTTCCCGGGGTGAGGAAACACACCCCCCACTCCCTAATGTTAACAGGTAGCAAGAGCCAGTATTGACAGGAGACCATTATGGTGTAGCACAAATTCTAATGCCAAGGGGTTCAATGTTCTGCTTCTAATACTGGTCACAGAAAACTTTTGAGTCTGGTAAGCAAAATCCTACAAAGGGAAAAGACTGCAAAGTTAGAATAAGACACCTCTTAAAATCTCTCTAGCTCTACCCTGAGAGAAAGGAGGAACTACCATCCGCCAGAAAACTGTTTGACTTGATTTTTTACAAAGGATTTTTAGCTTTTTTTTTTTCCAATCTACAACTGATACAGTACTCTTTGGCAAGTCATTTGGCTTCTTTCAGATGTCTTCTGAAGTAGCTTTACTCCTCTCTGACCTACAGGGAATAACTGAAATTTACATGTTTAATACAGGCACTGTGGTAGACAGAATAATGTCTTCCCCCCTTGCTCAAAACTGTCCAAGCCCTAGTCCCTGGAACCTGTGAATATGTTGTTTTTTTGTTTTTTTGTTTTTTGAGACAGAGTTTGGCTCTGTTGCCCAGGCTGGAGTGCAGTGGCGTGATCTTGCCTCACTGTAACCTCCGCCTTCTGGGTTCATGCGATCCTCCTGCCTCAGCCTCCCAAGTAGCTGGGATTACAGGCATGTGCTACCGCACCCAGCTGATTTTTGTATTTTTAGTAGAGACAGGGTTTCCCCATGTTGGCCAGGCTTGTCTTGAATTCCTGACCTCAGGTGATCCGCCCATCTCAGCCTCCCAAAGTGCTGGGATTACAGGTGTGAGCCACCGTGCCCAGCCAGCATTCTTTGGCAAAAGATACTTTGCCAGTGGAAATAAAGCCCTTAAAATAAGATGATTCTGTATTATCTGGGTGACCCCAATGTAATCACATGAACCCTTAAGAGCAGAAGAGGGAGGCAAAAGAGATGTCTTGGAGAGATGAAGCAGAAGAATTAAATTCAAAGTATGAGAGGAACTCAGCCCACTGTTGCTGGCTTTGAAAGTGGCCATAAGCCAGGGAATCCAGGCAGCTTCTAAAAGCTGAGAGGAAGTCCTGCCAAGAGCCAGCAAGGAAATGGGGACTTCAGTCCTATAACCTCACAGAGCTGAATTCTGACAACCTGAATGAACTTGGGAACAGATTATACCCCCTCCCCAACTCTCCAGAAAGGAATGTAGACACCTTGATTTCAGCCTTGTGACACTGGAAGCAGAGAATCAGCTGAGCCATGGAATCCAGACATCGGGCCCACAAGAAGTGTGAAACAGAATTGAATATTGTTTTATGACACTAAATCTGTGGTAACTTCTTACAGCCCCAAAAGAAAGCTAATACAGGCATTATGGGAACACCTTTCTTTCAGCGAACACTGCCTGACTTCAGTTGGGTTAAACCATGGGGGAATCCAGATGTGAATATTTCAAGGTCTCTGCCCTTGCAGAATCAAACAGAAACAAATGACAACATCATAGTTAAGTGTGAAAACAGAATATGTTCAGAGAACTGTACAGATGTGTTAGAAAGTTGGCTTTAGTCATTAAACCTTAAGTAGATGTGATTTTTTAAAGTTAATGAGATTCATGAGTTTATTTTATTGTCAGAAGCACCAACAGACAAAACAGTTGGTGTGTGTTTTTCTGTTTTTTAATCACAGTGCTTTTATTATAGATTATCTTCAGAAGTTAGTGCAGGTGGCATGTGGAACATAAACAGGACGGATACTCAACCCTGCCTAGTTTGGGGATGAGTCACTGTTTTCAAACTGCACAGTTATGAGCAAAGTGCATATTCAAGAACCAAGTTAACAGGCCACCAGCAGACACCCAGGAATTCCCAGCGGGACAACTGCACTGCAAAATGATAATATTATCATTTGCTCTGCACACCAGCAGGCCTGGGTTTGAATCTCTGCAGTCTTTCTCCATCCAGCTCTGTGGCCTTGGGCAAGTTATGAAACCTCTCATTGACTCAGTGCCGTCATTTGGACAGCAGGGTACATAGCAAATTCAAAGAATGGAACTGAGATTAAATGAGATCTTTGTAAAGTGCCTAGCACATAGTAGATACTCACTAAATACCAGCCCTCTTTGCCTCCAAAACGTTTTAGTGTCTAAAGTGTAAAATGTGCCTCATTGTTTATACTTTGAGTGAACCAAACCTTGGAACAGGGTTTGCTCCTGTAACAAATGTTCTCACTCAATAATAATATCCCCATTTTCAAATGAAGCTGAGGTTCAGAGAGGTCAGATTACCTCCCCTGGGTCCAGAAGATTAAATGAGATTACATTTGCTAAATAAACTTCCAGCATAACAGATGATCAGTACGTGAATAGCTCTCTTTGCCCCTCCCACATTTAATTTCTTCATGTGACTTTGGTTTAGTGATTGTGTTCATGCTACTATCTTTGGTTTCAT